AACATTTATTTATTGTGTGTGGGGGAGTGGCCAGCTCAGCCCACCAGGGGGCGCGGCTGGCTGGCATGTGGTGCTGGGGGATCGAACCGCGGTCCTTGTGCTTTGCTTAGCTTAGTTTGTTCCAAGTAGGTGCTTTAGACCACTGAGCCATCTCTCCAGCCCCCTCTTTCATTTTAACTTTTTTTTTTTCATGTATTTGTTACAAGCTCTCACTATGCAGCTTAGACTCATAGTGATCCTCCAGTTTTCAGCCCTCCCACTGCTGGGATTGCAGGTGTGCCTCACCATGCAGTCTTGGTGGTCAGTTCAGGGTGCTCGGGGGCAGGGCTGGTGAGGCATGTGGTGCCAGGGATCAAATTCTGGTTCCTGCCCTTGCCTAAGCAGTATAATTTGTATTTTGAAAAGTTCAATGTGGTTCTCAGAACAAAAATAACTCCCTGCTAAAATTTTGTTGAATGATTCTACTACAAAAATAGTTTTTGTATGATCATATTAACAAAGCATATATAGTATAATGATAATTAAATCAAGCAGATGCTGCTGGTAGATAGGATGCCACATGCTACTTACTCCCTCCCTTGTAATGTTTTATTCCAGGTACAGTATTTTTTGCTCTATAATTATTCAGTATTTAGAATCAGTGAATCACAAGTTTACACTATAATCTCTTTCAAAATCTTAGTTACCTCCAACCTGAAAACACAAGAGACCCTAAATTTATTTCACTAAGATAAACTGAATCAAACAGAAGATAGAAACTTCAATTTAATTAAAAATACTTCTCTCAAACAAAATTAATTTAAAAAGCAGTTTAAAGGGAACCAATCTCATTCCATGAAACAGTATGTCAGTAAGGGCAGGTATCTCACCTTCCTCTGCTCAGAAAGGTTATCAGGGAAAGATAAAAATGAACAGAAACCACAGATAAGTTTTTTGAGGGTCCAAATTCTCAAAATTCAACAATTAGGAAACAAACAACAGCATTAAACAATGGACCAAAGATCTTAACAGATAGCTCAACAAAAAAAGAAATGCAGAGAGTGAGTATATGAAAATTTTCCTCACAGGACATGTAAGTAGGGAAATACAAATTAAAACAACAATGATTTATCAGTACAACACCATGAAAATGGCAAAAGTCCAAACAGACATCACCAAAGGAAAGAATGTGGGACAACAGAAAATTTCAGTCATGTGAAGCCAAACACACAGCACTGTAGCAGTGACTTTAGTGGCTAACAACACTATCATACAGCATCCAATCCAATAATTATGATCTCTGAATTATCCCAAAAAAGTTCAAAACTTACTGCCCCTTACAACCTGTATTCTTGGTAGCTTTACTAATAAAAGCCAAAGTTTGGTGCAACCAAGACATCCTTCACATGATGAAGAAACTGGTTCTGTCCAAACAATGAAATATATTCAATACTAAAAAGGAGTTAAGCCAGAAAGGGTTAAGTGCATATTACTAAGGAAAACAAACCAATTTGAAAAGCTACCTAGTATATGATTCCAAATATAAGACATTGTGGGAAAGGAAAAATTATAGAAATAGCAAAAAGATTAAGTGTTTGCACAGGGAGGAAAATCAGGAATGAAACAGCAAAACACAAAGGATTTTAAGGACAGAGAAACTACCATGCACACCACTGCCATAGGGAAACAGGCCACTGCACATGTGCACAGATCCAGCAAAGGCACAACACTGAATAAGAACCCTAGGTCAACTATAGACTCTGATTAAAAAAAAAAAAGTCATTTTCCAGGTGTGGAGGAACACACCTATAGTCCCTACACCAGGGAGTCTGAGGCAGGAGGATCACTGTGAGTTAGAGGTCAGGTTAGACTACATAGCGATTTGAGGCAAGTATAAACTATACAGCTACCTAGCAAGACCTTGTCTTAAAAAAAAAAAAAAAAAAAGAGCAGAACAGAGCAGAAAGAAAAAAACAAGTATCAGCATAGGTTTATCAACTATAACAAATGTACCCCTCTTGTGGGGGATGTAGACAAAGGACATGGTTATAAACATGGAAGAGGTAATAAGTGGTATGTGGGGAACTTACGTACTTCCTGCTTTTATGAACCTAAAACTGGTCTAAAAATAAAGTATTATAAAATCAATTTTAAAATGTTTTCCAGTAATATTTTTCTCAAATCCAGTTTCTCATGATGTAAAGCTGTAACATGTGGGTATTTTAAGGATATAACTGAGAAAAAAGACCCATGGATTTAAAAAAAAAAAAAAAGTGGACATTGGCTGAGAGGCACATATTTTGGATAAAAATGTAAATAAAATGCTGGTTTTATTTTCAATATGTAGATGAGGTTTTGCTTACATAGAAAATAATGAAGTGTGTTACTTTAATTTCACAAAGATTTTAGGTATTAGCACTCCAGTTAAACTGAAAACAAGCTAAGGTTGGTACTACGTAAATATAAAATAAAATTTAGTGCTTAAACTTAATTTGGCAAACCACATAAAATACTATTTTCTCTTCTAAATTAAAATCAAATTAGAGGAAAAGGTAAATAAGCAATTAGAGACATTATTTTCAAAAACTCAGAAATTCAAAATCACTACTTTATCCCTTGATATCCTTTCAGATCATCTATAAATCCTTTGAAAGATTTCAGCAATTATGTTACTTAAATGAAAAAAAAAAAAAACCTAGCTATTTTTCACTAGGAGAGCTATTGAGTAAAATGAAAAATTAAAGTGAAAATACAAATTGTATTCCTTTAACTATTACTGCAAAAATACTATAATTTTTAAAGATATCACTGAGTTTTCACTTCTCTATAGATAATTCCTAATTATTAGCTATTAACATTTAATACAGTATTAAATATCAGGTATATAAGGCAAGCTGGTAAGAATAACAGAAAAAAGTATTTGGAATTCATAATAAAACTTTCTAATATTTTTAATATCCCAGTGTTCGAAGACTCCAAGTTTTCTCCACAATAAAACATTCACTATAGTAATTTGTGGAAGTTGCCAAAACCAAAAGGAATATTCATTAATCATGCTACCTATCTTAAAGCATTTTTCTCCACTTCAGAAACAATTATCAAAGAGGTGTTAGTCTAAACAATTTCATAAACCACAGCTCAATATAACCTTTAGTGAGTTTTAATAGTTGAAAGAAAAGCTTAATGGTTATCATCTTTTATGATCATTTCAATATTTCATCACAGTATTTACAAGTACATAATGTTGCAAGATGCTCGTACATTTAAGGTCTTGGTTATCTTCTCCCCAGAGGTACTGATGAAAACATGTTAAAAGCCTCAAATCCAACCACTAATGTAACTAAGTAATTTCAAAACACATTTCAGCACTTTGGAGAGGAAGGACTCAAAAAACACTAGAGCCAGTAACTTCATACCTGTACCTAAATTGTATTAAATTGATTATCACTTCCTAAGGCCATAATTGTTGACTAATCAATTTTTATGAAAATATATTCTTAGTTTACTAATGCTCTTAAGTCATACAACAAAAAAGATACTAGGTATTACTAAAATCTATTAAAGAGAGTTCCATCAAACTTTAAATAATGTGCTTTTGGCGCTAACAAAAAAAACCAAACTTTTTGTCAAGTAAAGAAAATTTCAGGGCTGGCCAGATAGCACAGGGGATTAAAGCGCCTGCTTAGGCAGCTGCAGCAGCTGCGGGCAGGGGTTCAGCATTCCAGGCTTGCACCCAGGGCTTGCTGAGACTGCGAATGAGATTGGGCATAGTGGCAGGCACTGTAATCCCAGCACTTGCGAGGTTGAAAATAGGAGAATCACTACGAGCCAAATCTTTGTAGTGAGACCCTGCAGACCCTGTCCTAAACACAAAAAGAAAAAAAGAAA